CTGGCACTTCTGTTCCTTCCTTCCGTACTTCCTCTTCTCCTCCTCGATATCGATACTTTTTTTCCGCTAGTTTAGTCGCACGAGGCTACCAGAAGGCTACCAGAAAGGATCAGCTATGATTCTGGTGTGCCATTTGCCGAGTTGCGTCATCCTTCTACAATCGCGAAACGAAAACGATAGCCACGAGTAAACTCGAGCTATTGTTCGGTCGAACAGCGGAGGCGTGGAAATAATCGTATCTGGCCGAGATCCGTAGACGGAGATTTCGGAAGAGGAAGATCCTTCATCTTGGTAACCGTACGTTGGTTGAAAAGTTTCAAAAAAGAAACCCGAAACATCTCCGTGAACTTTGTTTCGCTCTTTTGAAAAATCTCGACGCCTCTCTCATTTTTTGTTACTTTTAAACAATCTTGTTCGCGAGATCTCGCTATTAATTCGCTTTGGCTGTTAATTTAAAAATCCAGGTAATCTTAAACCATTCCACGTTACGTGATTTTCATGACTCCAGTTACGTGCAAATAGATATCCGAACCAGCAAACAAAGAGGTAATCCATTACATTTCGCTACTGGCACCTTCCGCGGATAATCCTCGCTCGTTACGTAGTCAGGTCGTTTTTCTTCTTCGCGTTTCACGTCGTGAAATAAGGGCTCGGTTTACTGGATTCTCCTAACTCGGCGCGATGCACTTAGAGCAACGGGAAGTAGTTGGAACGCTGCATGACGGCGCGGGTGCGGCGTGGGTTGCCTCCGCGGAAGTAATTTTCTAAGATCTGTTCGATTACTCGATCGACAAAATTTACACTTTATTGCACTTTTATATTCCCTTCGCGAAACGTCCAAATCTCCAGGAATTCACAAATCCGTTCGAACAGTATGGAGAAGGATCGAATTCGTTATTGTTTATGGTCGAACATTTATTTGACTAAACCGTTTATCCGGTTAGAAGGGGTCGATCGGTTTTCCAACTATAAATTACAATTACGCAAATTCCCTTGTAAACCTAAAACATTGGCCAGGTTCGGCTGGCGTCGACGAACCGCGAGAGAAACGAGCCGAACGACGAGGGACAAAGTTGAAGCCTCGTTAAGTGTTCGATTCCGATGGACCGATGATACTGGCACAGCTTAATAAGCTTAACGTTGTTATGCAAATGTTACGCTACACGAGTTCCCAAACAATTTAGTATATTACGCAACACGTGAATGGCTTCCGTGCCTGCTGCGTACTTAACTAACGTTTACGTCGCATCGTAATAAGTTTATCATAGTTCCCATTCCTAGTGTACCAACAAATAGAAAGTTTCGCACGGCACGAATACTATCCAACGTTCTTCAAAGTTGAGTAGCTTATGGATATAGAATTCAGCGAGTTTGAATTTTATGACTTGTCGAAGCGACCGTTGTTTCAAAACGCTTCGTGATAATACTACTCTATCCTTGTCGAATAATTAAATGTGTTTTAAATAAACGTTTCATTCGCCCCGTTAAATAAATAATCGCTCCGCGCAAAATGAGCTCGTTAAGAAGAAAATTAAATCGAACTGGGTAAAGCGATCGAGGTTAATTCCATAAACACTTCGTTTGACAAGCATATTACCGGTGCACTTTTACCTAGGACATTAACGAGATGAGTGAGCATCCAAAGTTTCGCGCATAAATGATGTACCGTGTTTAAAGTATGAAAATAAAATTCGGTCGTTCCGGTGGTTGAGAGAATAACGTCAACTTTAGAAGTGAAAGGAGAAAATTCTTTTATTTCTTGTGGACGTTTTACCATTTACCTTTAAAATGCAAATACGAAACAGAGATAGAGATCTAGGGAAATGTAAGAACTGGAAACTGTAGATACTTAAGTAAGTTCGGTGTACCTAGTGAGTCGTTTCTAACGACAATCTGTTTTGAGCGAAGGCTGTAACTTCTCGCGCGCCACGAAGCACGGACCTAGCTTGGCGACAGATGGCGTTCACCAAGAATCCTTGGATTTCCACGAGCCGTGATATAATCGCTCGACTCGACGAGGCCAGGCCGCAAATACAAAGCAGCTGCGTTTACACGCTTAAGTTGCAACCAGACGCGACGCGACGCGTTGGGGTAATGCGGACGCCGTTGCAGTAACTCGTTGCATCGTGGCGCTTTGCGCGATCCTCTCTCGCAGCACTGCCTATCATGGGGTTCTGCCGAATCGAATAACTCGACGGAGAAGGTAATATGGAAGAATGAAAAAATACTTGGCGTTCCGTGAGTTTACGAAATTGTCAGAAAAATCGACTCCGAGGCAACGCGAAGCGCAGAACTTCCGAAACGTCGGCTATTCTGCTATCTGTGGAAGACGTTACACATACACGATGTTACTCGCATTACTTATTTTCTCGTTACAACCTCGCGACGTGCCACATCAAAATGAAAATGAAAATGAAAATGGAAATGAAAGCTGAAAAATGAAAAGTAAAAGTCTGTTCTGGAGCATCGCGGAAAGAGAAATAGGGTTGTTCTCAAAGAGGACGGGAAAGTATCTCGTTTTCTTCGTAAATGGATTAGTTTATTATTGTCCAGGTGCTCCAAGATAATCCTATGCATATCGTGTCGTGATCCAGCAATCACAGCCTGAGTTTAAATCCCTCGCCGTTCTAAATGCTAATGAGCCTCGCGTAACCGATATTTTTGCAACGTTTTTGGGTAAACCGATGAAACAGATATAACAAGAACCCATTAAAAACAAGAAGCTCGTTCTGACAATGCATACGACTGTATACGACTAAACAACTCTTGGTAATTATCTAATTTAAAATAAGATTCTACAAGATAGATTACTTTCGACAATTACGAATATCAACGAGACGGTATTTCTTTGTGCGTTCACGTGCGCTTGGCTCTAACGTTCCTGTACATCTACGAAGTTTTCCAGCCCGCCTTAGACTGCTAAACTTTCGGATAGTCGAGTCACGGACACGGGGATGGCGTGTCCCTTTCTTAGATAAGAGCGTTAACAGGGTGCGGAGTTGTGATCCTCGATCTTTGCGAGTTGCAGACCCACGTAAGCTTGCGGTAGTTAATCTCGCGAAGACTGTCTGCTAATTCCTCGTCAGCGGCCGGCACGCCTGCGAAACTTTCCTTCTACCCGCGTCTGCTACCTAAGCGCTAATGCGCTTAATTGTTGTCGCATGCTGTTCGTAAACTACCTTAACCGAACGCTTCGTCAAATTCTTTAAGAAATCACCGAAATAGGATTGCGTGGTTACCGCCACCGCTTCCATTCTAAAGTATTAAACGAAAGTAACCGAAACTCGATTCAAACATCATTGAAAATACAAATTATCGTATTTGAAATCGGATAGATAAATCCACGTCATTTGGGAATAGCGCGTACAGTAATGGCGTAGTTTAAAAATTGGGCGATCGAAAAGGAACAGTTAATATTATGGAAGAGAAAGGTTCACCTGCGCTTGAGAATTCATAGGGAGATATACGCTCGTTGCGAGAGCTACGTTTTCGAAAAATGTATGCGAACAAGAGCTCGAGGTAGGAAACTATGATATATCCTTCACGGTTAAACGAGGTCATCGCAAAGTAATGAGCACCGTTTTAAGGAATTATTAAAGAGATAGCCTACTTTTTGCACACGTGCAACGAAACGCAACGAAGGATTATTATGGCGCTAAGCTACCGCTATATTTGAATCCTTCGTTTTTGGGCTCGCGAAGCCCGCCATCAAAACACGCAAAGTATTTCAATTTAGAGATTGGAACGTTCGCCAAAGCTCGCGACGTTGGCGTCGCGTCCTATCGACTCAACGACGAACTGCTCTTCCCTCAAAGTCGTATACAATCATTTGCGACTGCACGAGAATTACAGGATTCTACGCGAAGTTGATCGATATACAAGGACACCATCCTCGTGGCCCATTTGGTCTTGGTATTTATGAGCTCGTCGTCCGCGTAGCGCACCATAAACGAAAATTGAGGCCAGTCGAGTAATCTCTGAATGCGACAATGATCGATAACCACGAGATTCGTATACTTTTTACGACGATTCACACCCTTGGTGAAATATTCCAGCGAATGGCGCCATTACGAAATTTAACGCTCGACGTGATCCAACTGCTTTATTCCTAAAAAACCAGAGAATTATTCCAACAATGATTCAAACAACGCTTCGACCGGTGTTCTCGATATTCGTTGCTCTTCTATTCGGTGCATGTATTATTTGGTATTGTTCGGATGAAACGAAGGTACATACGTCGATCGTTGATTTATATGAATGATTTATATGAATGCGTTTCTCTGTTAACGATAAGAAACAAGGGTAGGTGTGATATCAAGGAAGCTGTATCCGAATTAACAATTCGATCCGTTCCACGATCGGTAGCTTCAATGTTTCAGTCACGAAAATGCGGTGGACGATAACAATAGAAGACACTAGGCAGATCGAACCAGTAATAGCGCGTGACACCGACTACTGGCTATGAGCTTCCTCGTAGTACCTAGGATTCCGACAACGACTAAGGCCATACGATTCCGAGTCGATAACTGCCTGTAAAGCGAAAAAGTTATTTCAGAGAACACGAGGGTAGGTATTGGAAACGGTAAGACGTGGCCGACTTTGCTTCGTTCTATGTACAACAATTTCAATATCTTTATCGAAACGTAGAGCTCGGTGATGCAATAATAATAATTAGCATACGGTTGTGGCAGGATAGAACAGATTAGAAATATTGGTGGATGCAAAGGTTATCGGTGGTAGATTGCAGGTGAAATCTTGGCGCAATTGTATCGAGTCCTGCCAGGGGAACGCGTCATCGTAACAGGCAATCGCGCTATCGAATTTAACAGGCAACGGATACGATGTCGCGCATAATGGTCGAGGCGTCGATCACCGCAATAATAATACAACCGCTATCGACTGCCGTTAGCGGCACCGTCGGCATTGCTGGCAGAGCTGCTAGCGAGGGCAGCGCGGAGTGGATCGCGTCGCGGAGGGCGGCGGACGGAGGTGGCAGGAGTCGAGGGTCGTTGGGGGTTGATATCTGGCTAAGCGCGGGCGCAGTTGGATCGCGGTCTCCAGCACAGCAGCATTTCCCTCGACGCCGACGATCCGTTCGCGCAGCTCCGTCTTACTCGATCCTCTCGTTGCCTCTTTCTCCCTCTTGTTGATCTCGACTCGCGTCTCCTTTCGCCCGTCTACTTATCCGCCTATTCATCTTATCAATCCGCTGCTTTCCTCCTTCTGCCCCTTCCACTCTCGCTCCGTCTCCGTCTGGTCGTCGAGTTTCGGGACGTTTCAGTTTCTCCTTAGGCGCTGCTCGTGGTACCGACCATGCGTGCGTGCACGCGACGAGTCATGTCCACGCGACCGAGTGTGCGTGCCGAATGACGAACGTGTGTCAGTTTAAGAAAAGCGAACGCTGCGCGAGTCGCCACGAATCGGATGCATCCGTCGCTACATCGGCGCGCTGAATGAAAATGCATCGACTTGTCACGTGGAAATACGACTTGCGGAGGATTCTTCGTTCGCCGCGTTCCGATCCGTGCCGTCTCGACGTGCTGCACGAATTTACGGAGAGGTGTTGGTGAGCAACTCGATTCCAACGTTCCTACAAAGTGACTTAAAACGATCTTCTGTACGCGAACAAACCTCATGCTACCCAACTATGAAGTTATTGCTTCAAGTCGTACCGATGCTATTTTTCGTTCTGTACTTGTGTGACTTTGTTGGTTAAAACGTATTTGGACCGTTCGCACTCGTGGCGTGATCCGATGATCAGTGATGTATGTACGTTCGACTCGCGTCGCGTCGTTGAGAGCTTCCGCACGAGAACGAGTATAAAATTCGTTAAATATTCGTTAAAAATACGCGTACCCGTAATCAAGTTATCGACCAAATACTGCTTTCGCTTTTAATAACGATACTTGTGCGAATTTCAAGGATTTATACAAAGTATGCTAAAATATAATTGATGGTTCAAGTTTCGGGTACGTATAATAAACAGAAATAAACAGAAAACTAACGTAGGCGTTGAAACAACGGTTTCCAAGTTCTCCCTTGCTTCTCGGCAACCGCCTTATATTACATTCTTCGTAGTGAGAAACGTGTCTTTGTTTATTTTATCAAACACCTACCGAACGCATTTTCGAGCGCGTGTGAATGTTAACGAGAAAACGTATCGAGGTATATATCGAAACGAGCGGACTCGTTTCGAATACTTGTTACGATGAAACTATATTTTTATTTCTATCTGGAAAACCGTTTATTTCCATACCCATATTGATACATGCGCTCACAGTTTGGACTATCAATTTTAACACGCCTCGTTTATATTTTTAATTCTCTCACGTTTCTCTATGGGTGGATCATAATACGCGGCGCGAATATCTTCTGCGCGAAGTGTTCCATCGACGTAACGAGAGACATAAAGTTAAACGAACATAAGTATCTGGAAGTGACACGTGATCGACCCGGTACGCAGAACGTTCCGGTGAAGTTACGCAAGGATAAACGTTCTCGCAGAGTATCGTAAGTTACGTGCAAGTTGGAGAAAAATTAGCCAGAAACACTTTGCTCTGACAGACGCGTCAAAAGTCCATTTTTTTCCGATAAAAACGTAGGAAATAGAGAATAGGATAACTGGCCATTCCGTGATTCGTTCATCTCCTAGCGACGACGTTCCTGGACACGTGTGTTTCATTTGCATTTGCGTTTGCATAAATTTCAGTAAAATTTCGACAAGAATTACTCGTCCGCGCTCGAATGGAATATCGTTAGCTCGTTAGTTGGAATCCAAATCTCGTTCGTCATCGAACGTTTCGAATGAATTTTTACCTTCCCTTTAGCAACACTTTCGCGTCGGTGGAAATCGTTACACCCGGTCGTGAAAGGTACAATGAGAATTTCGAATAAAAATATAGGTCCAACGAGAACAATCGATCCATCCTTACGTTAAAAATATTTACAAATTTTCGTATAGGATAATGTAATGTTAAAAGAGTTTCTGAAGATTTTTTGAACGCCTAGTATAAGGCAAATACGTTCACACATAGAAACAAGATAAATTTCCTAATATCCATCGAGTCATACGTGTCCCTGTAACAAAACGAATCGATAGGCCATGGCAAATTCACCGCTCATTCGCTATTACTTATTCGACACCACTGTACAAATACGATTCATAGAATATCGAAGTTCCGGACGCTGAAGAATTCCCGGAAATGTATCGACAAGTGATATTAATTCTTCGACCATCGCATTGCGCGTAATAATTGTCTCGATTATGTTTCGTTGTTAGCAAACACAGCTCGAGGCGCGAAACTAATCATTTTTAATAAAAAGTTGAACAATTTTTTGCGCGTTCGACGCTCGTTGCCTTTCAAGCAATTATCCGATCGATTTTGAGATTGATTTCAATTTACTCGCACACAAATTTCGCAGATATATCAGTGGGATCGTATAACAAGCAGATCATTGCAGTGTAATATCTGACGGATAATAAATTCGTGAATAGGTAATCGAAACTGTAAACATCGCAAATTGCTGCCGCATCACTTTCGAATCTGTTACTCCGTGTTCCAAATTGCATTCAAAATATTTATATTATTACTCTACAGATTGGTCCAATCGAAATGATACACCTTACACAAATATCCAGTATTAATTTTTATTTTCATTCTTTTGTTTTCAATTATGCTCGTAATTGGTTAAATTTATAAAAGTATCAAATTATATACCAGATTACGCGATCCCAGCTGCATATTTTACACGCAACATGCGAATGGCAACTTGTTGCATCGTTTTGACGAGATCTTACCTACATTGCTTTTTCTGTAGATCTTTTTTCAACCTATTCCCAATTATTTCATGTATTACGTGCAAATTCGGCCGAATCACGATTCAAGTACGAAAGCATCGTTTTTCAATTCATAATTTTTGATCCTTTATGGAAATGAAGAGAATGATAATCGACCGTAGAACGGTCCAGCGATAGTCGCGTGACATGCCGGCATGTAAAAGTGACGAGTGTCGAGAGGTCGATTCGATGTGCGAAGAGAATTTCTGTTTATTGTCGGCAGAAAAGACGTATCGCTCCGGCCGGGCTGGCACGGGTTCGAAAGTGGTGTCGCGAAATGTACCGGAAACGATGGACCGTAAAAGCACTGGGAACAAATTCACGGTACGGCGGGAATGCGAACGGCTGGGACACGTTGGCCAAGATGATCTGCATTTTCTTCTTCGCGATACTGCTGCACGGTAAGTCAATATAGAATTTATACGTACTGCAAAACACTTACACGTGACGCGATAAGGACGCGTTACCTCCTTATTCATTTAGTTTTCTATTAAACAGAGGCTGGCTTACGGATTAGATGAGAATTTAGGTTCCTTTAGATTTTCCATTGTACTGACCCGTCGTATTTTCAAAACACCCTATGATTAATAAACGTTTCTTTGCTTTTTGTTTTAATTTCAGCATTACTTTAGTATATCGGTTTCTTTTATAAGTAATTTCAAGTTTTTCTTAGGAATCGTTTATAATGTTTCAATTATAAATGATTTTGAAGGTGTGAAAGAATCGGAAAGTTAGTTAGCTAGCAAAAAGACGAGCCAATCGTTTAATTTGCCGCGGATCGCAAAAATCAAATTTTCTCGTCTGGTACGTATGCGCGGTGTTCAATTACTTTTTGTCATCGATTCCCACTGTACATAGGCTTGTTTATCAGGGCTGTCCGCGCGCACGATTTATTTGGAGGGTGAAACGCGCGACTCGCGTTCGCTTCTCGTTAATTAGAATCTCTGCCGTTCGGTCAACTATCGGTGCAACTATTGACTAGCTGCTCCCATTACGACAAGTCTCTATTATCGCGTTAATTCTTGCAAAAGTAATTGTCACGTTATCGATTCGTTAATTGGAATTCTCGCCATCGATTTCCGTCTGTTCGATACAAATGCAGTTATCGAAACTGTCGTCGCTAGGTAATTAATAAATTTATCGATTCGACCAGAGCTTACTTTGTCAACTTCCTTGTAATTGTTTCAATTATAGCTTTTCTATTATAATACATTTATAATTGCATCATTTGCAACACTTCTCGAGAGACATCGCATGTAAAAAATTTAAGTAAATCGCCTTGATTGACTCTATAAAATGATAGCAAAAACTTAAAACCTCTCAAGATCAATTGCTCGTGTCCACCGGAATCAAAAAGTCCTGTATCATTTTCCGATCCGATCATTCGTTACCGAGATAGAAGCGATTAAAGTGTAGCATGTTGGGACTCTCGACGCGGCCCGTTCGGAGCAGGGGTTTGTTTACCTTTCGGTTACGTTCGCGCGCTTCGGCACGTGCTACATGCGCTCGCGCGGACGCAGTCACGAGACTAGGCGCTCGCGCCCACTCCACGTGGTCCTTGCAGTTCGCTCACGTAACAAGCTTTAACTGCGAATATCTCCGAAACGAACAGTCGGATTGGAAAATGGAAAAGGACTTTTCAATTCATATTGGCACAAGTCATTCATCTCCAAGAGGTATCCGACATTTCTACTGACAACTGCTCATATTTTTCATAACAAAGCCATGAATTGAAAAATAAAAAAGGATTTTTACTATATATGTAGCTTTTCATGTATGTATATAGTAAAATTATAAAATCCATTGTTCGTAAGTAAAACGTATCGTCGCTGACAAGCCACTGAGCCTGTCGAATCCATATCCATTATTGAGATCGCGAGTAAGATTTTGAAAAATATGATTATTGTTGTATTGGCGGGACAACGTCCGCCAGGATTGGCTAGTAGATTTATAAAACAATGAAATCCATTGAATTTAAAACGCGTGTGATCGGTATTGTCGAAAGCTAGAAGTAGGAGGCTGTCCTTCTCCAACTGTCCGTTGGCATTCAAACATTCGAGGGACACCAATCCAGTATAAAAGCTTTCGAAAGTTTCATCCGAGCTTTTCAACAGAGGGAAGTAAAAGAAGATGAGAAATTAGTCGAGCACTTTAGTAATTCGAAAACGATCCTGTAATTTCAAGGGTGGCATTTTCTGAGGGAAACCGCTGCCAGTGAACGCAATTAAAAAATCCAGGACCAGTTCTTTTTTCGAGTAGGCGAAGAGTGGTTCCGTGCACGAAACACTTTGTCCGCGCACGAGTGACTCGCTTCCCGGAATTTTTCGCAAAAGCTCGCTCTGAGGGCCACAACGGATGACGTTGAAAACTCGTGGACGGAGGTAAAAAGCACGAGGGGAAATCAGAAAGTGGAAAGTAACGGCGTGGCTCGACGTAGAGAGACAAAAATGCGCCGTAGGCGACAATGATCCTCAACTACTTTGCAAACGTTGTTGCGGTCAGCTAACACCGCGAAACGCTTCCAAGCGTCGGTCGACGTGTACGCCCTTTTTATCTACTCAGCGCGAATGCTTTGTTTGTACAGAAATAAAATTGCAGTATGCGTTTCTGATAGTTACAGAGGAAGCGATTCGTTACCATTATATAAACCCTGTAAATACGTTCGATTATCGCCAATCGATTCCCGAGAAAACTATTCGTCTGTCATTCTTAATCTTTCCAAGCCAGTTTAAATGAGCGGTTGTACTGGAACGGTCTATCCGAAGATTTTCAGCAATCTTTCGAGACGTTTTACCAGCGTTAACTTCCCTAATGGTTTTCGAAACTCCATCGCCGAGACTTCTTAGGCGGTCTGTACCGCAGAGCATCCTTGCTTAAAATCACTTGACCGAAATCTGGCAAACGGTCGCTGCATAGAACGTTTGAGAGTAGTCCTCGATGCCATATTTATCTGCCCGACCATTCCAAATATATTGCTATCGAGTTTGAACTCGAGTCCGAAGGAGACGAGTGGTCTCGCTAGAGATGACTTTCGTTACGACGATGTACTTTTATTTCGCTTAACGTGGCTTTGTAACTATCCCCTAATATATAATCCACGACTAATCGTGTACGAGGCCGTGTATGGACATGCAAAACGAGCATAGCGTAAAGCTCGACAATCGATACACCGCGATCCCGGCTTCCAAAGCAAACTCACCGGTCAGTTGTAAACGCGCTTATCCGAAAGTTGTCGCGTTTAACGCGCGTTCGCGTATCGCGTATCGGGAATCGCGTATCGAAATAGCAATATATACTATATCGCAACGGTATCTGTAGCTGCAGCGTCTGCGTTCGCCCACTGGGTACGACGTAATGACACGACGACGACGACGACTTATGCGACTGCGTTACCTCGGAGCATTCGGCGCAAATGGCCGAATAGCACCATAGCTTACGGGTCAGAGGGTATTTCATTTTACCGAGTTACGCCATGGAATCAGGAAAATGGCGTATTCACGCTTCGCGAGCGCTGCCGTGTACGCGCAGCCATTAATAATTCACAATGTTTTCCCGTCGTAACTTTCTACTTACTTGCTTCTTGTTCCCGACGAAACGCTTTCCGGGTCTACTCGCTTTGTTCCGGGACACCTACGAACGAATAGTCTTCAACTTGAAAACGTTTATATACTAATATCTCTTGAATGTTAAATATTCGACGAGATCTCTGCGTTTTCCAGATTCGTTTTGTGCTCGGGCTGACACTAAAGAACTTTCATCCTACACGTGAACGCGACTCATCTCCGATGCATATAGATGCTTATGAATAAACATGGAATTCAATTATACAGGACCGTGTTCGAAATATATGCCGGACCGTCGACGAACTTTGAACGCGACTGTTGCACGCACGACCCTTTATTTACTCGACCGTTATTGTCCGGCTTTGGGTCCAGCTTGTCGAGGTTTCGCAAGTTGAGTCTGGAAACGAACGCTCTCGCCAATGCAGAAACCAAGAACAGAAATCATAGATCGCGTTTTCTCGAAATCTTCAGATATGGTACACGCAGTCCACGTTCGACCAGTCCCTTTTACTGCCTCCCTCTCCTTCTTATCGGATCGGAAGTTCACTCCGAAGTAACACCTTTGCTAAGACCTTCGCGACGTACGTAAGTGCTCCGCGGAGGAAGCATGGCGGAAAGTGTCGAGGAGGAGAGATTCGCGAAAAGAAACGAAACTTTCTCGGTTCCGTGCGGTCCGCATTGTTCGAATTCGCCAACTTTTATTCGATGGTGGCTGCCCGAAGCGGTCGACCGCTGGAACGTCGGTGGTTCGACAGAAATTTAACCAACTATTCGGCTACCAGCGACGCAAGCTTCAAATATTTTTCAATGCACGCGATACCGTACACCTGCATTCGGGTCAAGTTTTAGTTACACGTGTAACGTTATGTACGTACATACAATGATTACGAAGCATTTACGACGATGGATATCGCTTCGTTTACCATCGCAATTGCAATTGTACGAGTAGTTACATTCCACGATTGAACCCAAACAGAATGATAAATATCAGCGAAACCAGAGAAACGTGTTCGAATTTCAGAAAAGAACTTTGCGACAGTAAAGCGGTGGCACAAATATGCATATTTGATAGATTTGCGATGTATGCTCAAGACTGCACTCTTTCGATAACATTGGGATGTTTCGCGAGGTGGCGCGTGTTCCACGAGAAATTGGCGAACTCGCCAAGACGTGGTCGCAACGAACCCGTGTCCTCGTAATTTTCGATGCAATTAAACGTAGAGACACCGCAGCGGGAGCTGGCTGGTTCGACGCGCACGAAGACGGATTATCCTTTAAAGCGACTAATTAATTGGAGTCCCGCGCTAATTTAATATACCAAGTTAGTTGCAGCGCGTGGCTCCCAGCAGGCAAATGATCCACTTGCGGACGTTTCCCCGTAGAGTCGCGAAGAGAACTCTCGCCGAGGCAAGATCAATCATCCAGGGAGATTCGTGGCCCCTCCACCTGCGAAACAATTAGATCGCGCGATTGAAATGGAATGGCGACGCCGGTAAACTCTAAATGGTTCCACCGCTTCCGGGGCTTTGGCTCGATTAAAGAGCTTTCTCGGATCGATCCGATTTCAGCCGCGGGAGGATAGATTTATTCGCGATAATGGAGAGTTCGGATTCGCTAACTCAACCACGCTTATTTTTCTGCTCAATAGTTCGTTTTGTCGAAACGGAAGGGGTTCGCTCGTTTCGATTGTTCATTCGAGGTTATCTATGAATTTCCAGCTGATCGTTTCCTGTTAGTCATCCGATGGAGCTTCTTTCCTATCTTCTTCAGTAAGAACCATCAGAAACATTGTTCTGTATTGGTTCGATTACACGAAAATATCGACGAAGCTAGGACGT